TTTGGAGATTTTTGTTGTCACTTTTTCTGTGTTATGGTAGGGAATTTTTTTTTTTTTTTGTAGTTTACCAAAAAAAAAAAAAAACCCACGTAATTTAGTAGCTTGAATTGGTAAGAAAATGAGCTGCTGACAAACTTCTCCCCCCCCCAAATTGATGTTTGAGGATAGTGCAGTCAAACAACTTGGCATGAACTGCAAAGGAACTAGGATTGTATATCCACAGAACACAACTTCAGACTGCAGCACGAGTGAAAAGTGCTTCCCATGAGGTTTCCTTGGTCCTCTTCCGGTCAGTCTGATGGTCGTGCCGGTGGTGTTGTGTTGGGCTTTCGGAGAGCTGGTGCGGTTCTGTCTCTCTAGATGCAGACAGCCCGTGCTCTAAAGTATGACTCAGGAGAGGCTTCTGAGCCATTGACACTGCAGACGGCGCATCTGCGAAGGGAAACTTGAGAGTTAACCTTCATTGTGTTCCTCCTAAATCCCAGCATCAATCTGAAAAGTTGACAGATGGTCTTTCTCCTGTCTCAGGTGGTTTGATACTGTAACCTCCTTCCTGACTTATTCTCTTTTGTCCCTGTTTTGTTAGCTACTGAGAGGTGTGTTAGAATCTCTTAGTGTGACCCTGGATGTGCCCTTTCCTACTTGGCGTTCTGTCGGTGCCCTCTAGGGACTAAACCAGGATGAGGCATGGTGACGCTTGCCCTTTGCTTCCTTTCCAGCTCTGTGGTCTTATGTCCTTGTGACTTTGTCCTGTGTTCCATTCCTGTTTCCATGGGCACCCGGCTTCGTCTTTATCTTAACAGGTTCTGTGCCTCCCTGGAGCTTCAGCTCTGAGGCAGCCGTGTCTCTCGATGGGGTCCATTCTTACATGTGTTACTGCTCAGTTCAAGTCACTGTAGTCAACTCACAGGCTCCACAGAGTCTGGAGAGAGACTCTGGTACGGTGTGGCCCAGGGTGTCCGGTGGGTAGTGATGGGGAGGAAAGGACTGCAGGTAGTGGGACTGTCGGTGGAGTCCAGGACCTCTTAGAAAGGGCTGTGCGTTCAGGAATCACGATGGCATTTTCACAAAGACCATGTTTAATGAACACCAGAAGTAACAGGATGAATGACTGACTTTACCACTGGGGCTGGGACAGTTGGTTAACTATGAGGTAAAGCAGCTAGATACTCACCTCCCAACTTGGACCAAATAAAATTTATATGGATTAAAGAAACCCATAAAAGTAGAATTGGCTTATATTGTTATCATGTTTCTACACAGGAAAGAGATTTCATAATGTTACATGAATTTATTTTACAGACTAGCACTCAGACTATAGTTTTTCACCTGGCATGTATGTAAGGAGCTTTTTAATGTCATTAAACTTTCTGTATAAATATGATTTCAGTGGGTTATTTCCTCATATGTTAGGTTTTCTTCGTTATCAATAATGCTACCACATACATCTGTACTTGTTTTCATGACCCAGGAGAGTTCTTTCAAAACACTGCCATGGAGGGAAGAAACCCTGTGGCTGTGGGGTGTGTGTGGTACTAGAACTGTGCTCTGTAGTGTTTCAGTGGCTGGGATCTTTGGGAAGTGGATTGCCAGGCCTTTCTTCCATGGTGGTTCTGGGGGGACTCAAACCATAAACCTGTTGGTTAGTAGATGGATGTTTAGCTGTTTACCCTACCAAGGACTAAAGCTATGGAAGAAATCATAAATCCCTTGGCAACTTTTGTTTGTTCGTATGCTTGAAGAAAGTAGACTTCTTGAGGGCAAAGAGAATGGTTGTCCAACTCACAGTATAGGAGCTCTAGTAGCGTAGTGCCTAAGGCACTTGACTGCTAACCAGAGGCTGGTGGTTCAAATCCACCAGCCACTCCTCGGAAGGAAGATGGGGCAATCTACTTCCGTAGTGATACAGCCTGGGCAACCCAAGGAGGGGTCACTATGAGTCGGGTCCAACTAGACGGCACATAACAACAACTTATAGTATAGTGCTTAGTACTTAATGTTTTCTTTCCCCCCACTTTTACTGTGATTCGGGTGAAAGTTGACAGAGCAAATTCACTTTCCATACAGCAGTTCACATATGCTTTGTCTCATGACATTGACCACAATTTACCCCAATGCAACAGCTCTCCTCCCACTTCTTCCCGATAGTTCCCTCTTCCCTGTGTCCATCCCTCCATGCACTCCTGCCCCCTGAGCTGTCTCTCTGTGCATACACAGCCCCTCTTTCTCCCATGATTGTTCTCTCCAAGGAGCGTATCTACCTCAGGTACATGTTCAACTCCTATGCCTGTCTTTTGTTTGACTGGAAGCGACAGGTGTGGGTTTAATTCCAGACATGAAGGGCAGCTAGGGGCCATAGTCATAGTCATAGTCATTGGTTCCACCAGGCTCTATCAGACCAGCAAACCTGGTCCTCCCCCCTCTTTTTTTTCCCTCCAAATGATTTTGAGTTTTGTTCCACATTTTTCTCCCTCTCCATCCAGGATCTCCTACATAGATCCCCCTCCAAGTGGTTGATATTGGTAGCCGGGCACCATCTAGTTCTTCTGGTCTCATAGTCATATAGGCTGAGGATCGCATGGTGTACCAGTTGCGAGGACTAATTGTTTCCGTGAATCTTTGGTTTTCTTCATTCTTCTTTGCTCTGGACGAGGAGAGACCCATCATTGCATCTAGATGGCTGCTTGCAAGCTTTTAAGATCCCAGTCGCTACTCAACAAAGTAGAAGTTAGAACAATGTTTTGTGTAGTATGTTATGCCAATTGAGCTTGATGTCCCCTGTGACTATGGTCCCAAACCCACAGGTTCAACTACTCCCTCTGGGTAGCTGGCTGTGACCAAGAAGTGACTACAGCCTTGTCCTTTCTCAGCTCTACCGTACCCCTGGGAATTCTTACAAAACATACAGATACAGTTGTGGAACCATTGTCTGCCAACCCTATACATGGTCTTGGGTATACTCCCTGCTGCATAGACATACCTACTAGTTCAGCCTGTCCACCTATCTATCCACTTGTTTACCCGTGTTTGCCTTCACTGACAACGCAGTACTGTATGTGCAAAAGGGTTCATCTTTGTTGTCTGCACCTCCCATGTACCTCTTTATGTCTTTCTCTTCCTCAGTGCCACCATGCTGATCACTCACATTTGGTACATTGCCCTTCTCTTCACCCAAATCAATACTTATCTCTACCTATC